TTTAGTATTAATTTACGAAACGATAATTTCCATCTTGAAGCCATTTCCCTAGCCGTATTTATTTTGTGAACCAATATATGTCTGCTATAATGATAACATTGAAGCTGTTTTTGTACAGAACAGAAAATATTGGGGCGTCATATTAATGCAGTTGGAAAAAAATGTGTGATTTGATGAAACAGAATTATTATGAGTAATCAAGTTACCTTGAAACTTTGTTGATGTACTATTTGTCAAATATTCTCAAGTATATCATGACAATGTCATAAATTATTGTAACTGTCAACTACTGTTCGAATATTTTTAGAAATGCCGTTTTCCCATCAAGGAAAATGTGACATATTAGAATCCTACTTGTTTTGCCAGAAAAATAGCGTAAGAGCACTCCAACACTACAGACCATTTCAAACAATCTACATGGGGCTGTTCAATTATTACGTAAGCATATTATTTACAATAATTTACCCCCATCTCCCTTGTCAGCAAAAGTAAGCAAAGCCCTTACCACCCCTCCCATGACTTGATATTATAATTTAATTCCACCTTAATGCTTGTGACAATTTCGATTTCAGTAGACAAAATTATATAGCTGACAATTTTCTTTTTGCGTATGTCTGTATCTAGAAACTTTACTCGATTTAGAGTCAAAATATCTCAATATTTCAAAGGGAAAAACAAGTAGCATAAAGTTCAAATTATATGAAATAAACAAGGAGAATTTATATTAGTGAAAAGTTTAAATTATAAGAAAACAAAGAATGAACAGACAGATAAGTTGGAAAAAAGTACTGTACAAAGTATAAGCGACACAAAAGTTTGACAATTTTGTTGAACTTACCTCCACCAATTGCCTATGAGTTCGAAAACAGACTTTCTCTTGTATTTATCTTCATCATGATCAAATATCACCCCTTTGACATCTCGAATATCTTGGAAAATCCTTCGATTCGAAGAGTTTTGATAGCTGTCAGTCCTGTTAAATGCGCCATGATCTTCAGTAACGTTGACTACGGAATGTGAAGGACTGGGCATAACTCTAGGAGGGTGTGCGATGTTATTATTAACCTGAGTTTTAACCTCCCTTTCCTCAGAGAGCTAAATAATTGTTATTCAATGAGAAAACATGTCTCAATTCCCAAATGAATTATATTTACTTACAAGTGGTAAACCAAGTCCTGCTCTAGCCCAGTTCACTCCAGCAAGCTTTTCTTTGAGGACATCTGCAACCGGACTAATCAAATTGGGAGCAGGAAAGAAAGGACTCTTACAAGAAGGACAAGTATATCCCCTAGGAGCTGTTGTAGGCGGCAGCTGTCTTGAGAAGTGGTCTAGGCAGGACCAGTGAAAAACATCTGAAAAAAAACTAGGGTTTAAATCAAATCATTTATTTGTTTCAAAATAATACATAACAGCAGAGACACTATGAAATAAATTGAAATAACAATGTCAAAACATAAAAGTATCAGGCAGACATTCACAAAACAAGCAAAAAATAGTGACAGTTGAGAATTCTCCAAATGTGTAATATTTTGCAGTTAAATATTTTCGATTTCCTTTCGAAAAGTGAATATATCTCAATTGTCCTGTGATAATTAGGAAGAACATTGAAAAACCTATAGTCATTGATACAAGGGAAAGTAGTGTTCAGATGGCAGCAATCAACTTTTCATTGGCATTCTATAAAAATGGTGAATCATTTGTTTTAAAAAAATGTTCATTTTTGAAAACAAAACATCCAACTACATATATATTTCTATAGACTGAAATTATGGTCAAAACTGATTATTTTTGAAGTCATCTCTGAAATATTTTAAGGATTCAATTCCAAATGAAATCAGGATAGGTCTTTTTTGTGAATAAAACACTCCATAAGCTTATTTAGAGTTTCTCCAATACAGGCAAAATATCAACTTTCAATCGTGTATCTGCGGCATGCTGAGAGGATATGTAAAGTGCATAACTCATTTTTGCTAGCTTTGAAGACAAACTTTTTACATATGCATCCCATTTCAGCTGAATAAGTCGGTTTTGAAAAATTACTTTTATGCTGTTAGGTGACAGTGAGTCTTAAAACAGAACAAATATTTCATTTAGAAATTAACTACTTTATTAATTTCTTTGGAAGTCTCCCACATTTTTTGGATAAAGATGGAGAAACAGAAAGCCAAAACCTTTCTTTCCCACAAATAAATATCTTTTAAAAACATTCCACTTTCAGTTTAAATCTCAGAAATATCTTATAAAGCCACAGATAAAGTCTAATTTAAAATTTAATTCCTGAATATGTATTTCCCAACTAACAGTATTGTTCAGTGAAATTCCTGAAAATTTCATTTTTTCTAATTCTGGCATAGATTATCTATTGGATTTGATATAAAGTGATCCTGAAGCCGGGGAAGTAGTTGTTTTTCGACAGACGTTTACCACACCCTACTGTGTAGGTAGTTGGGAGAGATTATAATTTCGAAATTTATTTATATATGGATGGCAATTCGGAAATCTGAAATAGGCCTATAGTTGTCCAAACACACTCCCCACTAGATATCAATATTGAATATGAGTTACCTTCCGAAAAAGCTTACATATTTGCTAAAAACTTCAAAAAAGCTGCAAAGAAAGTGTCAACTTGAACTTTGACCGCAATCGTTCTAAAAATATTATATATAACAATATTGAATATAAGTTACCTTCCGAAAAAGCTTACATATTTGCTAAAAACTTCAAAAAAAGCTACAAAGAAAGCGTCAACTTGAACTTTGACCGCAATCGTTATGAAAATGTGAGCAAATGGTACGAAAACTTCTTTTCGCAAATACCCGTACAAGAAAATAATACATTCAATGTAGACGAAGAAGACTATTTTGAAATCTTATATCAGGGAAAAAACTCAGCTCCAGGCCATGACTATATCACAAGAAACATGTGGAGAAAGCTGGATTATGAGATTCACAAGTATATGATAAAAAGCTATGAATTTTGCCTTAAACGCATTATATACCTGACAATTATATACCTGACAATAATTACAATTCCCAAACCAAACAAGGATAACTCTCTTAAAGACAGTTATCGTCCGATTACTCTCCTGCCTGTAATTGGTAAAAACTTTGAAAAACTTTTACGAAACCATTTACTCCAACTGTTTAATGATAAAATTCCAAGCTACCAGTTTGGATTTAGACAAGTAAGATCTAATATACATTCTTTCACGATTCTCACGAACAACATTGAAACAAGCTGAACAACAAAACGGCAGCGGTCTTTCTGGATATGAACAAAGCATTCGATAGCATCTGGCACAAGGGTCTTTTATTCAAACTGCATCAACTGGGTTGTCCTAACTATCTAATACATACAATTAAGAATTTGCTAATTGACAGGAAACTGAGAGATAAAATACTCAGTAGTTTTTCAGACGCATTTATCCCAGAGGTCAGCACAGGGTTCACCGCTCTCACCATTGTTATATAACTTATACAGCTCTGATATTTATCGTCACCAACAATGACATATCAACCACTTCAGGCATGAAGCATATATTCTCCAGTATGCAGATGACACCGCCCTAATTGCACACAATCAAACTCTAGACAAAGTTATTAACAATTTGGAATATCTTGCAACAATAACAAATAACTGCTTCAATAAATGGAGGCTCCAGCCAAACCCATCTAAGTCTCAGTTCATCATATTTAATTATCAGAATTCCGCAACTTCTCCAACAATCAACGTTTTCCAACATATCTTAATTGCAAAATTGGCAGTTAACTACCTAGGTGTTACGCTTGATTCCAGACTAAATTTCAACAGCCACGTCAATAACATAAAAAAGAAAGTGATAGCAAGAGCCGCACATTTCACAAGTTTGACAAACCCGGAAGAGTGCAAACATATCAACAGCAAGCTGAATATATAAACTAATATGTCATCCACTTATTGAATACTCACACCCACTGTTTCTTAATATCAAACAAAGGGCCTTGAAAACAATTGAAGTATCTGAAACAACGGCTATAAGGAAAATAACAAGATTATGGCATCCAAATAACCCCAAACACAACCCTCCAAACCCTCTGCTGTACCAACTCACAGATATTATCCCTATAGAGGAAAAACTACCGTCACTTACTCAGAAGTATGCTAGAAAAGACAACAATGTAGAAATCATTAGAAAGTATGCTGTGACAAGAAGCCCCCATGCAAGAGTACGACATCCACCCCCAACAGAAACACTGTTAGAAAAATTAACACAACTTTATCAATGAAATTGTTTTGTTTGTTCATTTTTATATCCATATAATATTTTTTTATATTGTAAAATAAGCTATGTTATTTCAAAGCAATTCTGTTACACAGGCGGAAGGACTTCGGTCGATAGCCAGTTGAACAAAATTGTAATTTTGTTCAATAAATTATAATTATTATCATTATTGTATCTTCAGAAGAAACAGCCTTAATATGGAACCTCATCCAGAGTCCAAAATTTTTGTAATATATTATCTAATGTTGGATTTGACACTTCAGTAAAAAATTAATTAACTTTTATGGTATTAAGTTTAGCAGATGTTTGAGGCAATTTACCCATGATAATCCATCCAAAGACTGTATTTAGATAAACCGGTCTATTTTCACCCAATGAAACTTTTCCATCTTTCAAAGTATAAGGAAAAATGTCATAACCTAATAATAAATCTTTGTCAGATTTTTCATTGAAATTAGGATCAGCTAATAAAATGTAACATGTAATTTGTCTGGTTCGCCGACAGGATTATATCGCAGTTTCACACTTGGTAATGATAAAATACGTTCTCTCATCTTCACCTCACCTTGCATGGGTGTCAGAACAATTTATTCAAAAAGAAGGACATGATTGTCACAAAGAGATTTGAAGGAGTTCATCAAATAGCTTCAAATGAACAAAACCAATTTAAATTATTTACCCGCATAAATTGTGAATGCAATAGAAACGAATATTACTAAATATCATTGCAGATATGAAACAAAAAAATATTGAAGAAAAAAAAAGGAAAATTATTTACAGGACGTTTTTTTTTAGCTGATAGGTACCACTATTGCTATCTCGGAAACGGTAGGTCGTACAAGGACGGTTAAATGGAACAAAAGTTACCTTTTTAGAGATGCAACACAGTGGTATTTTCAATGGTTTGTGAGATATTTGCAAAAAATGACAGATTTTATTTTTTTGCTCTACCGCCTCCATTTTCAATAATATCAAAAAATGACAAAGGAACTATTTGCTTTATTTCATGTGCTTTATAATCTGGGTGGACTCATTTTTCAATGCAACATTTCGTTCATTGAATTCCATCATCAATATATGATGCATTTTCGTAGTCATTATAATTACAAATTCGTCGATATATCACATCTATATTTCCCGACGTTTCTTCCCCAAACCACATCATCACTATCATTTTTTATTAAGAGCTCGAATTTCCGAATGTTTCTGAAATCCAGAGTTCTCCTGTCGATAATGTCGTTCATTGAGATTATAAATATTTGTATTCACTGAAATCCAACTAAATTTCTGTCAGGGTCGTCTTGAGGAAGTCTCCC